TGAAATTATCTCCTTGTATGACAAATATCAGCATGAGTTGTTGTGACATTAACAGCTGTGCGCAATAAATTAAAACCCTACATTTGATATAATTACGAGGACGGAATAAAAACCTGTTAAAAGCATCCAAAAATGACGTATTTAAAAAGACGATACAAAGTTAAAAAAGACCAAAACAACACACAAAGGGCAACTGTTTGGTGTTTTAAAGGTGTTGCACTTTTTGGCGAGGAAGATCGAAACTTAACGATAAAAAATGTGAGTAATCGAATATCTATCAAAGCCTTGTCTGTAATTGTGAACATGAGCAGGACAGAAGTTTTGCCGTGCAAACCCGTGATTGATATAATGAACAACGATATAAGTCTAGGTTACCGGTTAACACTCAATGAGACAGGTTACTTATGCTGGTTTTGCGCCGCGTTTAGCGATATTCCAGCAATATCACGGCGGGGACACCAAATATGTTAAAATTTAAATCACTCTTTACATGTAAAATGATATCTGTTATGAAAAAGACACTGCTGTGTCGAAGAAAGTTTTACGTCGTTTTTAGTAATATTCCAGCAATATCACGGCGGGGGACACCAAATATGGCTTCACACATTGTAACAATGTGGGGAATTGAACCCGGGTCTTCGTCGTGACGAGCGAACAGTTTAACCACTAGGCTATCCCACCGCTCCTCGGGTGGTCAGGGTGGCTGACTTGGCTGATGCATGTCGTGGTTGATCGATGAACATAATATCAAGCACTTCGATTGTTTACTGACCGCCCTTATAGAGATAGCATGCACAAGCAAACAAGCAAACAAACAAACGATAGCATGAAATAAAAAATCTGTTATTTTTTAATTGAAATCATCAATAAGTATCATAGGATTTTCGGGTTAATGATTAGTGGTTTGCAGGCACAGATGAACCGGATGAAGTTTATTGTTAAATATTTTACTTGAGAAAACTCAAAACGCCATCTTCCCACAAACGTGAATGCAGATTATGTGTTATAGCTCAATCGGGTGCATCCAACGCTCACTGTTGCACACCACGTTTGAAAACACAAAGCAGTGAAGGTGAAAGTTGCAGTTTAATAACTTTTAATAATAAAGTGATTTCAAGATTAAACTTTATTTTGCACAGCGGTGGGGGCAAATAAGGTTAGTAGTGTGTGGCGGGTGGAGGTGGGGCTGGGGGTATGTGTGTAGGTATGAATAGCTAGAAAAAAACACAGACTGCCTTAGGCAAACATCTAGTCTCTGAAATGAACAAGAGGAGCCCAGAGACTTTCTTCGTTTCCAGTGGAAATCTAGACTTGCCATATATTCTAGAATTGCATGGCTTTCTGTGACAAATTTCTTTCAGGATATGTATGACAGGCAAGGACTGTTGTTGTGTTTTGGTCGGTTTGTTGTTTAACGCCACTCTCACCAATATTCCAACTATATGGCGGCGGTATGTAAATAATCGCTACTGGACCAGACAATTTACCGATCAAAATCATGAGCATCGATCTACGCTCTCGAAACAGAAATTATGTTTGCTTAAATCAACCATTGTGTTAACGCTGGAAACTAATAACAAAATCACTATTTCATAAAACAACGTTGCATTTTCATATTTTGTATGCCATTCATATTTATTCTGCCATTAGAATATATTCATGCCAATAATGGTTGTCACCACCTTCAAATTTTTTTATTGGAGAGGGGGTGGGGGGTGTGTGTGTGTGTGTGGGGGGGTTGGGGTGGGGAGGGGGTGACAACCATTATTGGCATGAGTATATTTATTGATTATTGATTCTATGTTGTATAGCAAATGGTGCTAATTTCAACATTTGCTTGAAAGAGCGGTGTTCAAACATATACACAAATGGGGCGTGGCCAAGCTGCCTTGTCAAATCTGTTTTTCGAAGCAAAGCAGTATTTCCATGAAAGATCACAAAATTGACCTACCGGTTCCTGACGTAATCAAGCCAGAGTATAAAGAAATATGTTAGGAAGACTCCCTGCAAAGATTATTTATGCAGACAGTGTACAAAACATACAATAAATATATTTTTCTGTTTGAAATCCAAATTTGAATTTCCCACTGTATCAGTCAGGCCAGAAGAAGTGCGTTTCATAGCAACAACTTTGCTAGTGGAGGAAACGGTTTCATTCATGGTTTCATATTCCATTTTGTTCCCAGGCAGGCAGTGGAAATGACCCACCCCCTCCCTCCTCCCCTCCCCCCCTGCTGTGCCAGATCAGGGCGGTACAGTTATTTGATGACGACATCAATATGCCGAACATTTTATTCTGATATTTGTTTGGCATTTGTATTATCGTTATGAACACTTTCGCCAGTTAAATTTAGTTGCTGAAAAGATGTAATGAAAGTTGCTGGACCCAAAAGTATCCAGTTATACATATTTAAATACAACTTGTGTCTGGAGGTGCGGGGATTCTGCTGTACACAAGAAAGGTGAGTGAGTGAGTTTAGTTTTACGCCGCCTTTAGCAACATTCCAGCAACATCACGGCGGGGACACTGAAATGGAGACCACCTCCGTGGTGTAGTGGTTAGAGTGTTCGCCCGGAGAGCGGAAGGTCGCGGGTTCGATCCCCGACCGCGTCAAACCAAAAGACGTTAAAATATGATACTTGTTGGTCCCTACCTGGCACTCGGCATTAATGGGTACAACAAGGACTCGTCGGCTCGGAGTCAGTATAATGTGTCTGAGTGGGGTATTCATGCTTCACTGCGGCGTGGTATCTCAGTGAGCTAGCACTATAAAACCAGCTTCAGTCTGGGCTAGTACAAGCAGCCGCACATACACATACACACGCATGCGCGTCGTCATATGAGCGAAATATTCTCAAGCGCGACGTTAAACCCAATTTCACCTCACCTCACCTCGGGTGGTCAGGGTCGCTGACTTGGCTGATGCATGTCGTGGTTGATCGATGAACATCATGTCAATAATACACTGCTGAAGAGTAGACGAATTGGAAACCAATGGGATGTTTTAAAGTTTGCGACCCGTGAAGATCCGGGGTAGAACAGGTCTTCAGCAACCCATGGGATGTTTTGAAGTTTGAACTCCGGCCTTGAATTATATAATTTCATCCTTGACTGTGAATGTTTTTGATGTTACGCCGCTTTTAGCATTATGTGCAGTCGTGGCAGGGACACCAGTTCTCGACTTTACACACTGTACCCATGTGGAGAATCGAACCAGGGCGTTTAGCGCGAACCCGAATGCCCCAACGTTCTAGGCTACCCGAACGCCCCAATTCTCCAATATCATACCATGGTCTCATAGTTTGTAATACACCATGTCATGCCTGTCCCCCCAAACCCTGGCGAATAAATTGCAGAAAGCCCTACTCAAGTCTAGAATTTATGAGGCAAGTCTATATGAAATAGTCTGAAATTGACATGTTTCCTTTTGCTTTTGGAAATAATAAAATTTATAAATATAGTGTTAACAATCGCCCCACCATACAGCTTAATTGACTGTTGGTGTTTTGATGAATACCGCAGTCTAACTCTATTTGCCACGATTAATGTTAAAAAATCATATCTATTCTTTAACTTCGATAAATAAATCATTATTGTTAGCTTCATATGTTAATAAGAGATGGGTTTTTTCCCTCTCCAGTTCGTCTGTGCGAGAATAGAGCATGTCGGCGATGGACCAAGGGACGTAACTCAGCCGTAATTGGAAGAATCAGATTCCAGTTTGGCGCGTTCAGATCCGACATTAGATTTTTGATATCAAGGACCGTTCCTGAAGATTCAATATACTCTTAAGAAAGTAGGGGAATCTGAACTTTCCATTTGGATAGCAAGTAAAAGCGTTAGCAAAGTTTTCAAAGACAGACGTACATCTTATGAACACACCACCATTTTTCTTTATCACCACCCCTAAACACAACGCAGTAGCCCCATTCACGTGCATGCGGTGTCATTCTTGATTTTGACTGTTTTTAACAAGGTCGATAAATCACTGTAGACCAACACTTTTTGACAATCAGCTTGCATGACGCAGTTTAGTGTTCAGACATTGCAAATTTCAAGTCATACACAAATCATCTTTCAAGAGCGATTACTGTACAAACAATTATAGTCACGAGGAAGTGTAATTGGTGATGCACTCTCAAAACATTCATTATTATCATGTAAGCATTGATTTAGTCCAATAAATCTCCCAATGTTTTCAATCTTAAATTAAAATGAAGATCCCCTACGTTTTTAAAGAGTAAAGTACCATCGGATGTAAGAAAGACACCGTGCATGGATGTCACATGCTTAATGGAGGCACTTGAGTGAGTGAGTTTAGTTCTACGCCGCACTCAGCAATATTCCAGCTATATGGCGGCGGTCTGTAAATAATCGAGCCTGAACAAGACAATCCAATGATCAACAGCATGAACATCGATCTACGCAATTTGGAACCGATGACATGTGTCTACCAAGTCAGCGAACCTGACCACCCGATCCTGTTAGTCGCCTCTTACGACAAGCATGGGTTGCTGAAGACCAATTCTAACACGGTCCTTCCCGGGTCTATGTCTTGAGGTTCAACATTGAACTTTTCTTTGTTATAGTATTTATTACTCAAAGACTGTAAATATCTCTTCAAGGAGTAATACATAATGTCATTTGTTAGGATCAACGAATTTCATGAATTTTCGGAAATTGGTTCGTTTCGGAAAGTAAATGACGAGATCTCGTGATTTCGCGAGAACTGAACACGCTAAGGGCGGATGGAAATTACCTCGATTGTTGTGAAACATTAAACTCCCCAAATGCAGCATTGCACCTCAGTAGACCAGTTATCCAACCAGTATCCAACCAAAATGCATCATTGTTTTCGGATCTTGATTCAACTGCGATATTTCAAATTTAAAAAAAAAAAAAAAAAAAAAAATCAGTGTAATTTTAATTTTTAGATATAAACAGCTTTCAAATCCAACCACAGTTTTCATTTCGACGTTTTAATTCAATAATGTTCCCTTACAAACTGGTTCGCAGGTTGTTTATAGACAGCAGACCAATGTTTGTATCTTTGTATTCTTGTTAGAATTAATCTTTTAAGCACCAAGGTTATTGTAACAGATATTGCTGAGTGCGGCGTAAAACTAAACTCACTCGATCACTTATTATAAGAGTCGCCTTGTGTTGGTCGTCATTCACGCTGAGGTCATCGCAGTAGTTACGTAGATACATGTTCATGGTATTAAGACCTGTGAAGGTCCGGGTTAGAATTGATCTTCAGTAACCCGGCTTGTCGTAAGAGGTGACTAACGGGATTGTTTGGTCAGCCTTCTGACGTGCTTGAAAGATGTCATCGTATCCCAATTGCGTCGATTGATGCTCATGATCTTGATCACTGGATTGTGAAGTCGAGGAGTGCCGATTGTAATGGAATATTGCTAACAGCGGCGTAAAATCATAAAGACTCACAGTCAAGGATGGAATTAAAGGCCGGAGTGCAAACTTTAAAACATCCCATGGGTTTCCATGAAAATACCTGAAATCGAAATTTCTGTTATCACAACCATAACATTTATTATTAGGGCTTTTAGTATGTAGAAAATAGACTCTGAATGTACAATCAGTGTCACCAGAATTGGGTATGCATCAGAGAGAATGCATCAGTAGGTGTACACTGGCGCTTGGCAAATATTCACTATTATATTATTAATTGCAATATAGTGCAATACTATTTATTTGCCAAAACACAGCCCTAGTCACATGGCATCATTACTCCTGTGTGGCATCCACTGTGCTACCTGTGAGGATGCATCAGTTACATAACTTCTTGAAATATTATTCTTTTCTGATCACGAGATATATAAATCTCAAATCGTCCTTGAATTTTTCGGGGTCCATCCTGGACATACGTTTGTTCACCTCGTCGTACAGCCCATCAACTATCTGCTCCTTCTCCTCCAGTGATCGGGAATCTGAGAGACCATTCATGAAAGTACTGTTGCCCCAGTTCCTATGAGCAGATGTGTACATCCTGGCAAACTCCTCCCTGTCATCAATTCCTTCTTTGTCTTTCTTCTCTCTCCAATTGTTGTAAAATACATCAGGGTTCACTGCAGCTTCAGCTGACAAGAGACTTAATCCTGACCTTGAAACTGGTGACGTTTTGTCATCGAATGGTTTTCTGACCTGCACCATGTTAGGAAGACAGATGGACAAATTTGTATTTATGAACTCATCTTTGGTGATTTTACCAGTTAAACTGTATTTTTTCCATACCTCGTTCAGTAGACCTACAAACGATTGCAGCATGTATCTATTTTCTCCAGTGTTTCTGTCCTCAAATTCAGCGCAGGTACCTACGACAAGTAAGCCTCCCCGTTTCAGTTCTCTACTTCTTCTCAGTAAAAAGGTCTCCCAGTCCAACTCGGCTTGCTTGTTTAGCGCAGTCGTCTCCTCAGCACTACTCATGACATCTTTGTAAATTGAGTTTTTGAAGATAGGAGTCTTCGGCAGCCAATGGACAGATGCCATTGACATCATGAAATGCATTGAGTTTGAAGGTACACACTGCTTGTAGAAGTTTGTCCCGGAAGCAAGAAAATAGACATCGTCCATTTCCAGGAGGTAGGACGGCGGATCAGGGATGATTCCTGACATACGTTTGAAGAGGGAATTGAAATCGTTCATTTCCAAGTCTTCATAGATCACCTGGAACTGGGTGTTGGGACCATGATGATCTTTCAGAGTTGCCAGCAACTCACCGAAAATACCCATGGCAGTAGAACCATCAGCTGCACCATAGTCGGCAATGTTGAAGACCGAGTCCTTGTCAGTGAAAGGAATTGTTTTGGCCAAACTGAGAATCTGTTCTCGTACTGGTTCGACGTATCCAACATTTTGTTTTCCGAGGGTTGATCCATAATTTCCGTCACCTGTTTTTCCATACGGGCGATATATTTTTGGAATATCTCCATAGTATCTCACTGGGACAGCTGTAAATCCCTTGTTCAACCAGTGACATCTTCTTATCGTTGAAAAGAGTATCCTGGTGGACATTGTTGATGCAGTGTTTTTCTATTTATAAAGATTCGTTGCAATCCTGTTTTAGAATTATTGCCTGTAGAAAAAAAACATAACAAATTATATATTCGCCAACAGGTTTTACTATCATCCCCTTGTCCAGCTCCTGTTATCAACATATTCTGATTATTGATGACAAAATTGAGATTAATCAGAACAAGAATGATTATATCAAGTGATAAGATTTCGGAATGAAATTGCGTTTTGGTGCACTGTGTGATTAAAACATTCATTTTGAAATATTAAACTGATTAACAGCATCACAGTCAGAGTTGTATTTCTATGATTGCCAGACAGTTTGAACAACACAGGTATTTGCAACACATGGCTAAGATTTGGTTAACTGTTTACCTACTGCCGACTCCAGCAAATATGTATTGCAATTTGATAACACCTGAACAAGGAGCACTCTAAGTCACTCCACCACAGTGCTAACTCCCTTCGCAAGGGACACAACTCATGCTTCTTTTTTGGTGTTCCCCGTCTGCCACAAAGTGGGATGCTGATAAATCATCCTTGCTTCTTTTGTAGAAAGCACTAATTTTGTCTAGATTAAAATATGGCTGTCAAGTTTTCATGAATGCTGCAAAATGTCATTTGGCTAAACTTGATCGTGTTCAAGCCAAAGCTCTTCGGATATGCACTGGTGCTTTTCATACTACTCCAGTTTCTGCCCTGCAGGTGGAATGCTCAGAACCTCCTTTGCAATATCATCGTCTTAAAGTTGCCCTTAAGTACTATTTATCCTCAAAAGCTTCATCTAGGTATCAACCAGCAACTGATATATTGTGTGATTGTGTGGAATATGCCATGTGTGATTGGAATCATGGAAAACTACCGTTTGGATTACTTGTACAACAATTTGCATTACAGTACAAGTTGAACAATCTTCAGTTGAATGCTGCTTGATCTCTCCCAAAAACGGTTCCATGGGCTTTAACACAACCTTCGATTTCACAGGATTTATCGGAGCTTGTAAACAAACAAATGTCACCAAGTGTTATTAAAATCCTAACCCAAGATTACATTCACACCAAATATAGCAATTTTACTCATATTTACACTGATGCTTCAAAGGATCCCAGAACCGGTCATGTTGGTGGAGCTTTTTATATTCCAGATATTGGTTTATCCAAACGATTTAGATTGACTGATCATCTGTCTGTATTTGCAGCAGAACTGACAGCATAGCTTTAAATGGGTAAAAGATAATGAACACGAAGCAATAATTTTTACTGATTCGTTGTCAGCTGTAAAAGCAATTCAATTAGGTGTACAAGGTCCACGCAGTAACATACTATACGACATCTTGTATCTTGATACTGTTTTAAACTCCATGTACATCAGCTGTGATATTGTTTGGATTTCTGCACATGTATGTGTAGCTGGAAACAAAGTAGTCGACACACTTGCAAAGATGGCTTGCAACAGACCACTGCCAGATATTCATTCATTTAAGCCCATTCCAAGAGATTACTGGTTTGTCATTTCATCTTCAATAACTGCATCTTGGCAAAATAAATGGGATAATGAAACTACAGGTAGACACATGTACTCTACTTGTCCTGTAGTAAACAAACATTTTAAAATTCGTCGGGGTTGTCGCGGAGATGAAGTTGGTTTAACTCGTCTCAGACTGGGACATTGTGGATTAAAGGCATATAGAAGTATTTTAGATAAAGACCTATCTCCTCTGTGTGAAAGCTGTAACTTACACTGCCAAGAAACAGTTCAGCACTACCTCATTGAATGTCCAGCTCATGAAAACCCACTTAGGGCTCTTCAAAAAACTGTGCTTAACAAAACCCAAAATACTTTTTCAATGAACGCAAAACTTGGCGATAATTTAATGTATGGTTGCATACAAAGAGCTGTTTTAGACTTCCTCGTTAAAACGGGTCAGTGCGACGTAATTTAACTGAAAAATATGACAGTTTGTTAAGTGTTGGGCGCATATAGGCCTTTTAAGGCCCAAGGTTGCCCTAAAACCTTATCTACCTACCTACCTTGGTGTTCCCAAGTTCTGATTATTGATGACCAAATTAGAGTGAACAAGGAGCATTCTAAGTCACTTCACCACAGTGCTAACTCCCTTCGAAAGGGACACAACTCATGTTTCTCCCTTGGTGTTCCAAAGTCAACTTCTAAACGGGTGTCAGAAAGATTGCAATAAAATGGAAGAAACTATGCTTTTATCAAAACAACATTGTATGAACAGACTGCGCGTGTTTTCGTCTGCGTGTGTGTGTGTGTGTGTGTGTGTGTGTTCGTGTGTGTGTGTGTGTGTGTGTGTGTGTGTGTGTGTGTGTGTGTGTGTGTGTGTGTGTGTGTGTGTGTGTGTGTGTGTGTGTTCATAAATATGGTTCGTCAATTCGACTAACCTCAGAAATATAGTGACGTGATTGTCGGCAATGTATCTGTGTCAAGGAAACTTTCAGATATGCATTCCAATATACAACAAAACTTCAGCTCAAACCTTCGCATACCGTCACCATTCAATTTTCCATCTCCCCTAAGACTGTCGTTTAGAAACATATTCAATAATATACATTAAAAGCGTACTTACATGAAGTTACATTCACCAGACGATATATCCGTGCAAGTCACCAGGTCAAGAAGTACCAGTTAGGTGATTTGCACGGTTGCAGTCATGTGACACACGTCATGTCAAGGATCGAGTTGCAAGTGTAACAGTGAAAATAGGCCAGTGTCGAATGCACACTCCAACATTCAGCTCACACACTGTTTGTCAAGGACCCGGAAATCTGCATCTTCACTTATTTGTGTCTACTATAGAAATATAAATCATGTAATCAGTTTATAAATGTCTGAAATATATTGCAAAGTCTCTGATATGTTGGTGAGTCGTTAATATGCATTATGCAGCAGATACGTGATATGCAGCAGACACTATCAGTAATTGTGCAGCTGTGCAGGGTCAGTCACGTGATATACATGTCAAGGACTAGTGGAATTTCCGCAAGTCATGAGATTTAGCTTTCGATCACGTGGTACATGAAGGCAATATACGATTTCAGAAACTGTGTCGTTTAACCTTGCTGCCAAAGGCAGAAGTCTGTGTTGTTTAACCTTGTGGCCTAGGGCAGATAACTGTGCTGTTTAACCTTGTGGCCTAAGGCAGATAACTGTGCTGTTTAACCTTGTGGCCTAAGGCAGATGACTGTGTCGTTTTGAACTTTTCTTTGTTATAGTATTTATTACTCAAAGACTGTAAATATCTCTTCAATCAGTAATACATAATGTCATTTATTCAGATCAACGCATTTCATGATGTTTTTGTTTTCGGAAATTGGTTTGTTTCGGAATGTAAATGACAAAATTTCGGGAGAACTGAACACGCTAAGGGCGGATGGAAATTACCTCGATTGTTGTGAAACATTAAACTCCCCAAATGCAGCATTGCACCTCAGTAGACCAGTAATCCAACCAATATCCAACCAAAATGCATCATTGTTTTCGGATCTTGATTCAACTGCGATATTTCAAATTTCAAAAAAAATAAATAAAAAAACAAAATGTGTAATTTTAATTCTTAGATATATACAGCTTTCAAGTCCAACCACAGTTTTCATTTCAACGTTTTAATTCAATAATCTTCCCTTACAAACTGGTTCGCAGGTTGTTGATAGTCAACAGATCAATGTTTGTATCTTTGTATTCCTGTTAGAATGAACCTTAGCGCACCATGTTTATTGTAACAGATATTGCTGAGTGCGGCGTAAAACTAAACTCACTCACTCACTTATTATAAGAGTCGCCTTGCGTTGGTCGTCATTCACGCTGATGTCATTGCAGTAGTTACGTAGATATATGTTCATGGTATTTAGAACCGTGAAGATCCGTGTTAGAATTGATCTTCAGTAACCCGGCTTGTCGTAAGAGGTGACTAACGGGATTGTTTGGTCAGCCTTCTGACGTGCTTGACAGATGTCATCGTATCCCAATTGCGTAGATCGATGCCCATGATCTTGATCACTGGATTGAGTGGTCTAGACTCGATTATTTACAGACCGCTGCCATACAGCTGAAATATGGCTGAATGCGACATTTAAACCACATTGTTTACAATTACTCAGATGTCAAAGTTATTGATACATATCTCTCTCCGTGCTATACGTCATATATGATGGGAACAGGAACCTTCACCTTTAGTTGTGGGGTGCCGTGGTAGCCTAGTGGTTAAAGTATTCGCTCGTCATGCCAAACGCCCTTGTTCGATTCTCAACAATGTATAAGGTCGAGAAGTGCCGATTGTAATGGAATATTGCTAAAAGCGGCGTAAAAAATAAAGACTCACAGTCAAGGATGGAATTAAAGGCCGGAGTGCAAACTTTAAAACATCCCTTGGGTTTCCACGAAAATACATGAACTTGTGTGATTATCTCTATGGTTTCAGTTAAAATCCACACATACTTTCATTCACACTGAAGTTTTCCATTGTAATTGACAAAAGAACATACTTTACGTACAATATATTTTGTAATAGAGAAATACACAGTCCCTCAAAATTAAATTGAAATCGAAATTTCTGTTATCACAACCATAACATTTATTTTTAGGGCTTTAGTATGTAGAAAGTAGACTCTGAATGTACAATCAGTGTCACTCACTGTCAAACATTGAAGCTCCCAATATATCACAATATGTATCGGAACATGGATACCAGAATTGGGTATGCATCAGAGAGCATGCATCAGTGGGTGTACACTGGCGCTTTGCAAATATCCACTATTATATTTTTAATTGCAATAAAGGGCAATACTATTTGTTTGCCAAAACACAGCCCAAGTCACATGGCATCATTACTCCTGTGTGACATCCACTGTGCTACCTGATATTCACTGGCCCATTTCATACAGTTTCCAAAGCCTAGTGTCCCTTCGCACCAAATCTTTTGATTTCATTGTTAATATTGAAGTCGTGCTTGGTTTATCACCAAAATACTTCGCACCTATATTGGGGGAATTTCTTTTTTAAAGTTTTTTATTCCCAAGAGATACATGTTACATACAACAGGCACTTATTGAATACATACATGTATATATATAACCGGCTTTCTGGTCGCCGTCATCATGAAAGTGTTCAGTAGTCATAATATGTGATTAATAATGGTACATCATCATATAATTATTCCATGTGGGACCACAGTAAGTCTAGGTAGACTTATATATAACAGGTAACTTGCATCATATACATACCTATATACATACAAACCAGCTTTCAAGTCGCAGTCATCATGGAAGTATATAGTAATCATTATCTGAGTAGTAATAATATCTGATTATTAATAGTACGTCATTCTATAATTACTCTTTGTGGGACCACATTAGGTCAAGGTCGACTTGCATATAACAGGCAATTTGTATTGAATACATACAGGCATAGATGCAAACCAGCTTTCAAGTCGCAGTCATCATGGAAGTGTACAATAGTCATTATCTGAGTAATGGTAATATCTGATTGGTAATAGTACATTATCATATAATCATTCCATGTGAACCACCGTAGGTCTAAGTAAGCTTACATGTAAACAGTCAGTTTGTATCGAATGCATAGATACATACATACATAAGAACCAGCTTTCGAGTCACAGTCATTCTGGAAGTGTACAGTAATCACTATCCAAGTAATGATAATATCCGATTAATGATAATACAACGTCATATAATTATTCCACGTGAAACCACACTGAATCTGGGTAAACTTTGCATATTGTGTATTATTGTGCTTGGAGAGTGTGGGGAGATGACCAAAATGTAAAAAAATTAGCTTGGTCAGCGTGTGTAAAGGCAATACGTTTACATGATTTGTAGTATCTTTTGATCTCACATTTGACCTGGTGAAAGTTTGGTTTAACATTTTTTCTGCTCATAGTGAACCAAATATTTTGATTTCATTGTTAACATCGAAGCCTTGCTTGGTCTATCACCAAAATACTTCGCACCTAGAATTTGGTTATAAAGAAGTACAATAAATGATAGACATAACTGTATGTTTACATTCTCGAGCATAACACTTTTACAACTGTTATCGATGAGAAATTGTTCTAAATCATTTATGAATAAACAAAATAAAAGAGGTGAAAGATTTTCCCCTTTGCGGACGCCCGAATAACATTGAAAATAATCTGAGAACTTATCATTTGAACATACACAAGATTTGATATTTGCATACATGTTTTGTATAAGCGTAAAAAATTTACCTGTAATTCCATTGTTAACTATTTTTTGCCAAAGTCCAATCCTCCATACATTATCAAAAGCTTTAGAAAAATCAATGAACGCACAATATAACTTTCTTTTACAGGTCTTTAAAATCTGAGTAAGCATGTTCAAAACAAATATGTTGTCGTTTGTGGAATGTTCTTTCCTAAAACCTGCCTGCGCAGGGGTTAAAATATTGTTTGTTTCCAAGAAAATCTTTTGATTTCATTGTTAACATTGAAGCCGTGCTTGGTCTATCACCAACATATCTTGCACCTAGAATTGTGGAATTAGCCGGGGGGATCTCCACACCTAAACACAAACAGAAGGATTCCAGGAACAGACTGGTGTATGACTCAGACCCTGGTGCTTATATAGCTGAACCCTCTGCTTGTATGATGTCATCAACTTCCATAATAGGGAGACGATGCTTTACCTATCTTTTGAAGAGTTGTGCATCGAAATATTGCTCAATTTTGACAGCTTTAGAGATTATTATTGTTTTGGCCGTGTGTTATCGGAAAAGTTGAGTAATAACCAGTTACGTGGTTAAGCATCCACATCTACGTCTGTCTAATATTACAGCGTGTACAGGCGTGAGTATTTGACCATCAAGTGGTGGCCGGAGCGGTCACTACAAACACTGGAGTGTATATTCAATTAGGCTTTTAGCGGCATGGGGCGATAACGGCAGCATAGACAGCTGTCAGTTACGCAAGCTGCCGATAACAAGTCTGTTACAACATGAATACTTTAACAAAATGTGAGAGTTATAAAATCGACTTTGTTGAGAAATATCTGAATAATTTTAGGTAAAAATATACACATTTTGCAACTGTTATAAGATTCCTGTTTGTATGCTGAGGGAGCTTCTCTTGTTAAATAACTTCTTGGATGATTATTCTTTTCTGATCACGAGATATATAAATCTCAAATCGTCCTTGAATATTTCGGGGTCCATCCTTGAAATACGTTTCTTCACGTCGTCGTACAGCCCATCAAGTATCTGCTCCTTCTCCTCCAGTGATCGGGAATCTGAGAGACCATTCATGAAAGTACTGTTGCTCCAGTTCCTGTGAGCAGACACGTACATCCTGGCAAACTCCTCCCTGTCATCAATTCCTTCTTTGTCCTTCTTCTCTCTCCAATCGTTGTAAAATACATCAGGGTTCACAACAGCTTCAGCTGACAAGAGACTTAATCCTGACCTTGAAACGGGTAACGTTTTGTCATCGAATGGTTTTCTGACCTGCTCCATGTTAGGAAAGCAGAAGGACAAATTTGTATTTATTAACTCATCTTTGGTGATTTTACCAGTTCTACTGTATTCTTTCCATACCTCAGTCAGTAGACCTATGAACGATTGCAGCATGTATCTATTTTCTCCAGTGTTTCTGTCCTCAAATTCAGCGCAGGTACCTACGACAAGTAAGCCTCCCCGTTTCAGTTCTCTACTTCTTCTCAGTAAAAACATCTCCCAGTCCAACTCCGCTTGCTTGTTTAGTGCAGCCGTCTCCTCAGTACTACTCTTGGCATCTTTGTAAATTGAGTCTTTGAAGGTGGTTGCAGTCCTTGACAACCAATGGACAGACGTTATTGACATCATGAAATGCATTGAGTTTGAAGGTACACACTGCTTGTAGAAGTTTGTCCCTGAGGCAAGAACATAGACATTGTCCATTTCCTGAGGTAGGACGGTGGATCAGGATGATTCTGACATACGTTTGAAGAGGGAATTGAAATCGTTCATTTCCAAGTCTTCATAGATCACCTGGAACTGGGTGTTGGGGCCATGATGATCTTTCAGAGTTGCCAGCAACTCACGGAAAATGGCCATGGCAGTAGAACCATCAGCTGCACCATAGTCGGCAATGTTGAAGACCGAGTCCTTGTCAGTGAAAGGAATGGTTTTGGCCAAACTGAGAATCTGTTCTCGCACTGGTTCGACATATCCAACATTTTGTTTTCCGAGTGTTGATCCATAGTTTCCGTCACCTGTTTTTCCATACGGGCGATATATTTTTGGAATATCTCCATAGTATCTCACTGGGATAGCTGCAAATCCCTTGTTCAACCAGTGACATCTTCTTATCGTTGAAAAGAGTATCCTGGTGGACATTGTTGATGCAGTGTTTTTCTATTTATAAAGATTCGTTGCAATCCTGTTGTAGACTTATTGCCTGTAGAAAAATAAAATAACAAATTATATATTCACCAACAGGTTTTACTATCATCCCCTTGTCCAGCTCCTGTTATCAACACATTCTGATTATTGATGACAAAATTGAGATTAATCAGAGCAAGAATGATTATATGAAGTGATAAGATTTCGGAATGAAATTGCGTTGTGGTGCACTGTGTGATTAAAACATTATTTTCGAAATATTAAGCTGATTAACAGCATCACAGTCAGAATTGTATTTCTATGATTGGCAGACAGTTTGAACAACACAGGCAGTTGCAACACACGGCTAAGATTTGGTTAACTGTTTACACTTTCTGTCGACTCCAGCAAATTTGTATTGCAATCTGATAACACCTGAACAAGGAGCACTCTATGTCACTTCACCACAGTGCTAACCCCCTTCGCAAGGGACACAACTCATGCTTCTCTTTTGGTGTTCCCAAGTCAACTTCTAAACGAGTGTCAGAAAGATTGCAAGGAAATGGACGAAACTAAGCTTAAATCTAAACAACTTGGTATGAATAGACTGCGCGTATTTTCGTCTGCGGGTGTGTGTTCGTGTGTGTGTTCGTGTGTGTTCGTGTGTGTGTGTGTGTGTGTGTGTGTGTGTGTGTGTGTGTGTGTGTGTGTGTGTGTGTGTGTGTGTGTGTGTGTGTGTGTGTGTGTGTGTGTGTGTTCATAAATATGGCTCGTCAATTCGACTAACCTCAGAATTATAGTGACGTGATTGTCGGCAATGTATCTATGTCAAGGAAAGTTTCAGATATGCATTCCAACATACAACAAAAATTCAGCTCAAACCTTCGCATACCGTTACCATTCAACTTTCCATCACCCGTAAGACTGTCGTTTAGAAACATATTCATTAATATACATATAATAAAGCGTACTTACATAAAGTTACATTCACCAGACGATATATCCGTGCAAGTCACCATGTCAAGGAGTACCAGTTAGGTGCTATGCACGGTTGCAGTCACGTGACATACGTCATGTCAAGGATCGAGTTGCAAGTGTAACAGTGACAATAGGCCTGTGTCGAATGCACACTCCAACATTCAGCTCACACACTGTTTGTCAAGGACATTGATATCTGCATCTTCACTTATTTGTGTCTAGTTTAGAAATATAAATCATGTAATCAGTTTATAAATGTCTGCAATGCATCCCAAAGTCTCTGATATTTTGGTGACTGAGTCGTTTGCTTTATGCTGCAGATACGTGATATGCAGCAGACGCTATCAGTAATTGTGCAGCTGTGCAGGGTCAGTCACGTGATAAACATGTCAAGGACTAGTGGAATTTCCGCAAGTCATGAGATTTAGCTTTCGATCACGTGGTACACGTGGGCAATATACGATTTCAGTAACTGTGTCGTTTAACCTTGCGGCCAACGGCAGAAGTCTGTGTTGTTGAACCTTGTGGCCTAGGGCAGATAACTGTGCTGTTTAACCTTGTGGCCTAAGGCAGAAGTCTGTGTTGTTGAACCTTGTGGCCTAGGGCAGATAACTGTGCTGTTTAACCTTGTGGCCTAAGGCAGATAACTGTGCTGTTTAACCTTGTGGCCTAAGGCAGATGACTGTGCTGTTTAACATTATGGCCTAAGGCAGATGACTGTGTCGTTTTGAACTTTTCTTTGTTATAGTATTTATTACTCAAAGACTGTAAATATCTCTTCAATCAGTAATACATAATGTCATTTATTCAGATCAACGCATTTCATGAGTTTTTGTTTTCGGAAATTGGTTTGTTTCGGAATGTAAATGACAAGATTTCGGGAGAACTGAACACGCTAAGGGCGGATGGAAATTACCTCGATTGTTGTGAAACATTAATCTCCCCAAATGCAGCATTGCACCTCAGTAGACCAGTTATCCAACCAATATCCAACCAAAATGCATCATTGTTTTCGAAACTTGATTCAACTGCGATATTTCAAATGTTTTATTTTTTTTTAAATCAGTGTCTTTTTAATTCTTAGATTTATACAGCTTTCAAATCCAACCACAGTTTTCATTTCAACGTTTAAATTCAATAATCTTCCCTTACAAACTGGTTCGCAGGTTGTTAATAGTCAACAGATCAATGTTTGCATCTTTGTATTCCTGTTAGAATGAACCTTAGCGCACCATTTGTATTGTAACAGATATTGCTGAGTGCCGCGTAAAACTAAACTCACTCGGTCACTTATTATAAGAGTCGCCTTGCGTTGGTCGTCATTCACGCTGATGTCATTGCAGTAGTTACGTAGATATATGTTCATGGTATTTAGAACCGTGAAGATCCGTGTTAGAATTGATCTTCAGTAACCCGGCTTGTCGTAAGAGGTGACTAACGGGATTGTTTGGTCAGCCTTCTGACGTGCTCTCCACATTCTCCAAGCACAATAATACGGAATATGCAAAGTTTACCCAGATTCATTGTGATTTCACGTGGAATATTTATGACGTTGTATTATCATTAATCAGATAATATCATTACTCAGATAGTGATTACTGTACACTTCCAGAAAGACTGTGACTGGAAAGCTGGTTCTTATGTATGTATGTATCTATGGATTCGATACAAACTGACTGTTTACATGTGAGCTTACTTAGACCTACGGTGGTTCACACGGAATGATTATATGATAATGTACTATTACCAATCAGATATTATCATTACTCAGATAATGATTATTGCACACTTCCATGATGACTGTGACTTGAAAGCTGGTTTGTATGTATGCCTGTATGTATTCAATACAAATTGCCTGTTATATGCAAGTCCACGTACTATTAATAATCAGATATTATTACTACTCAGATAATGATTACTATACACTTCCATGATGACCGTGACTTGAAACCTGTTTGTATGTATATAGGTATGTATTTGATGCAAGTTACCTGTTATGTATAAGTCTACCTAGACTTATGGTGGTCCCACATGGAATAATTATATGATGATGTACCATTATTAATCACATATTATGACTACTGAACACTTTCATGATGACGGCGACCAGAAAGCCGGTTATATATATACATGTATGTATTCAATAAGTGCCTGTTGTATGTAACATGTATCTCTTGGGAATAAAAAACTTTAAAAAAAAGAAATTCCCCAATTCTAGGTGCGAAGTATTTTGTTGATAAACCAAGCACGACTTCAATATTAACAATGAAATCAAAAGATTTGGTGCGAAGGGACACTAGGCTTTGGAAACTGTATGAAATGGGCCAGTGAATATCAGGCAGCACAGTGGATGTCACACAGGAGTAATGATGCCATGTGACTTGGGCTGTGTTTTGGCAAATAAATAGTATTGCACTATATTGCAATTAATTATATAATAGAGGATATTTGCAAAGCGCCAGTGTAGACCCACTGATGCATGCTCCCTGATGCATACCCAATTCTGGTATCCATGTTCCGATACATATTGCGATATATTGGGAGCTTCAATGTTTGACAGTGAGTGACACTGATTGTACATGCAGAGTCTACTTTCTACATACCAAAGCCCTAAAATTAAATGTTCGATTTCAATTTGATTTTGAGGGATTGTGTATTTGTCTATTACAAAATGTCTTGTTAGTAAAGTATACTCTCCACAAAAAAAACCGCATCATGAAAATAGCAATTTCATGTACCAATGAATTTAAACGTGATTCATTTTACAAAAGGTTTTGCTCTGTTTATGAGTCCTATGGTGTTTATGTTTTGAAACATCACAACAAAACGCACCATCCGTAAAATACCCGTATTTAACAGCATGATTTTCAATTTCGGCGTGTAGTGTCAAAGAATACACAATTCACATGCAATGCACGTGAAAGTTGGGGATCAGATAGTCTCAATGATGGGTATAAAAGGTTGATCGCTGTCTGTCGATTATTCACTGTATTTGGAATATTGTTGACGAACGCAAAATGTCACGTCTAAGTGAACCGTCATATCGCCATTGGTTTGCTTGAAGCTTGCCAGTCTCAACGTGCAGTTGCCCGACGCATGAATGTTCACCAAAGCACCATTTCACGGCTCTGGGAGAGATATCGCTGGCAGAATGCGGTAGCAGATGCCCCTCGTAGTGGGCGACCTTGAGCGACCACTGCGGCGCAGGATCAAATGTGACCAAAATGTAACAAAATTAGCTTGGTCAGCGTGTGTAAAGGCAATACGATTACATGATTTGTAGTATCTTTTGATCTCACTTTTGATCTGGTGAAAGTTTGGTTTAACATTTTTTCTGCTCATAGTGTACCAAATCCTTTGATTTCATTATTAACATTGAAGCCGTGTTTGGTCTATCACTAAAATACTTCGCACCTAGAATTGTGGAATTAGCCGGGGGGATCTCCACACCTTAACATAAACAGAAGGATTCCAGGGTCAGACTGATGTATGTCTCAGACCTTGGTGCTTATATAGCTGAACCCTCTGCTTGTATGATGTCATCAACTTCCATAAAATGGAGACGACGCTTTACCTATCTTTTGAAGAGTTGTGCCTTCGAAATATTACTCAATTTTGGCAGACAGCTTTAGAGATTATTATTGTTTTGGCCGTGTGTTATCGGAAAAGTTGAGTAATAACCAGTTACGTCGTTAAGCATCCACATCTACGTCTGTCTAATATTAAAGCGTGTACAGGCGTGAGTATTTGACCATCAAGTTGTGGCCGGAGCGGTCACTACACACTCTAGAGTGTATACTCAATTAGGCTTTTAGCGGCATGGGGCGATAACGGCAGCATAGACAGCTGTCAGTTACGCAAGTTGCCGATAACAAGTCTCTTACAACATGAATACTTTAACAAAATGTGAGAGATATAAAATTGACTTTGTTGAGAAATATCTGAATAATTTTAGGTAAAAATATACACATTTTGCAACTGTTATAAGATTCCTGTTTGTATGCTGAGGGAGCTTCTCTTGTTAAATAACTTCTTGGATGATTATTCTTTTCTGATCACGAGATATATAAATCTCAAATCGTCCTTGAATATTTCAGGGTTCATCCTTGAAAGACGTTTCTTCACGTCGTCGTACAGCCCATCAACTATCTGCTCCTTCTCCTCCAGTGATCGGGAATCTGAGAGACCATTCATGAAAGTACTGTTGCTCCAGTTCCTGTGAGCAGACACGTACATCCTGGCAAACTACTCCCTTTCATCAATTCCTTCTTTGTCCTTCTTCTCTCTCCAAGTGTTGTAAAATACATCAGGGTTCACTACAGCTTCAGCTGAAAAGAGACTTAATTCAGACCTTGAAACGGGCGACGTTTTGTCATCGAATGGTTTTCTGACCTGCTCCATGTTAGGTAAACAGAAGGACAAATTTGTATTTATGAACACATCTTTGGTGATTTTACAAGTTATACTGTATTCTTTCCATACCTCAGTCAGTAGACCTATAAACGATTGCACAATGTATCTATTTTCTCCAGTGTTTCTGTCCTCAAACTCAGCGCAGGTACCTACGACAAGTAAGCCTCCCCGTTTCAGTTCTCTACTTCTTCTCAGTAAAAACATCTCCCAGTCCAACTCCGCTTGCTTGTTTAGTGCAGCCGTCTCCTCAGTACTACTCTTGGCATCTTTGTAAATTGAGTCTTTGAAGGTGGTTGCAGTCCTTGACAACCAATGGACAGACGTCATTGACATCATGAAATGCATTGAGTTTGAAGGTACACACTGCTTGTAGAAGTTTGTCCCTGAGGCAAGAACATAGACATTGTCCATTTCCTGGAGGTAGGACGGTGGATCAGGGATGATTCCTGACATACGTTTGAAGAGGGAATTGAAATCGTTCATTTCCAAGTCTTCATAGATCACCTGGAACTGGGTGTTGGGGCCATGATGATCTTTCAGAGTTGCCAGCAACTCACCGAAAATGGCCATGGCAGTAGAACCACCAGCTGCACCATAGTCGGCAATGTTGAAGACCGAATCCTTGTCAGTGAAAGGAATGGTTTTGGCCAAACTGAGAATCTGTTCTCGCACTGGTTCGACATATCCAACATTTTGTTTTCCGAGTGTTGATCCATAATTTCCGTCACCTGTTCTTCCATACGGGCGATATATTTTTGGAATATCTCCATAGTATCTCACTGGGATAGCCTCAAATCCCTTGTTCAACCAGTGACATCTTCTTATCGTTGAAAAGAGTATCCTGGTGGACATTGTTGATGCAGTGTTTTTCTATTTATAAAGATTCGTTGCAATCCTGTTGTAGAATTATTGCCTGTAGAAAAATAACATAACAAATTATATATTCACCAACAGGTTTTACTATCATGCCCTTGTCCAGCTCCTGTTATCAACACATTCTGATTATTGATGACAAAATTGAGATTAATCAGAGCAAGAATGATTATATCAAGTGATAAGATTTCGGAATGAAATTGCGTTGTGGTGCACTGTGTGATTAAAACATTAATTTCGAAATATTAAGCTGATTAACAGCATCACAGCCAGAATTGTATTTCTATGATTGGCAGACAGTTTGAACAACACAGGCAGTTGCAACACACGGCTAAGATTTGGTTAACTGTTTACACTTTCTGTCGACTCCAGCAAATATGTATTGCAATCTGATAACACCTGAACAAGGAGCACTCTATGTCACTTCACCACAGTGCTTACTCCCTTCGCAAGGGACACAACTCATGTTTCTCCATTGGTGTTCCCAAGTCAACTTCTAAACGGGCGTCAGAAAGATTGCAATTAAATGGACGAAACTATGCTTTTATCTAAACAACATTGTATGAATAGACTGCGCGCGTTTTCGTCTGCGTGTGTGTGTTCGTGTGTTCTTGTGTGTGTGTGTGTGTGTGTGTGTGTGTGTGTGTGTGTGTGCGTGCGTGTGTGTGCGTGCGTGCGTGTGTGTGTGTGTGTTCATAAATATGGCTCGTCAATTCGACTAACCTCAGAAATATAGTGACGTGATTGTCGGCAATGTATCTATGTCAAGGAAAGTTTCAAATATACATTCAGATACAAGAAAAATTCAGCTCAAACCTTTGCATACCGTTGCCATTCAACTTCCCATCACCCATAAGACTGTCGTTTAGAAACATATTCAACAATATACATATAATAAAGCGTACTTACATAAAGTTACATTCACCAGACGATATATCCGTGCAAGTCACCAGGTCAAGAAGTACCAGTTAGGTGATTTGCACGGTTGCAGTCACGTGACACGTCATGTCAAGGATCGAGTTGCAAGTGTAACAGTGAAAATAGGCCTGTGTCGAATGCACACTCCAACATTCAGCTCACACACTGTTCGTCAAGGACCCGGAAATCTGCATCTTCACTTATGTGTGTCTACTATAGAAATATAAATCATGTAATCAGTTTATACATGTCTGCAATACATTGCAAATTCTCTGATATTTTGGTGAGTCGTTAATATGCTTTATGCAGCAGATAGGTCATATGCAGCAGACGCTATCAGTAATTGTGCAGCTGTGCAGGGTCAGTCACGTGATATACATGTCAAGGACTAGTGGAATTTCCGCAAGTCATGTGATCTATCTTTCGATCACGTGGTACATGAGGGCAATATACGATTTTAGAAATTTTGTGTTTAACTTTAATAACGGAAGGTGACTTTTAGAATACCCCTATCAAATACTTTGTTTTCGTTCGTAATCTCCTTTAACCATATGGCGTAAGGCAGATGACTGTGTTGTTTAACCATATGGCCTAAGGCAGATGACTGTGTAGTTTAACCGTGTGGCGTAAGGCAGATGAGTGTGTTGTTTAACCTTGTGGCGTAAGGCAGATGACTGTGTTGTTTAACCTTGTGGCCAAAGGCAGATGACATTGTTGTTTAACCTTATGGCCTCAGGCAGATGACTGTGTTGTTTAACCTTATGGCCTAAGGCAGATGAATGGGTTGTTTAACCTTGTGGCCTAAGGCAGGTGAATGTGTTGCATAACCTTATGGCCTAAGCTAGATGACTGTGTTGTTTAACCTTGTGGCCTAAGGCAGGCGAATGTGTTGTTTAACCTTGTGGCCTAAGGCAGATGACTGTATTGTTGAACCTTGTGGCCTAAGGCAGATAACTGTATCGTTTAACCTTGTGGCCTAAGGCAGATGACTGTGTGGTTGAACCTTATGGCACAAGGCAGATGACTGTGTCGTATAATCCTGTGGCCAAAGACAGATGACTGTGTTGTTGAACCTTATGGCCTAAGGCAGATGACTGTGTCGTTTAACCTTGTGGCCTAAGATAGAAGGCTTTGTTGTTTAACCTTGTGGCCTAAAGTAGATGACTGTGTCATTTAACCGTGTGGCCTAAGGCAGATGACTGTGTCGTTTGACCTTATGGCCTAAAAGAGATGACTGTGTTGTTTAATCTTGTGGCCTAAGGTAGATGAATGTGTCATTTAACCTTGTGGCCTAAGGTAGATGACTGTGTTCTTGAACTTTGTGGCATTAGACACATGACTGTGTTGTTTAAACTTGTGGCCTAAGGCAGATGGCTGTGTTGTTTAACTGTGTGCCCTAAGGGAGATGACTGAGTTGTTTAACTGTGTGGCCTAAGAGAGATGACTGTGTTGTTTAACCTTGTGGCATAAGGCAGGTGAATGTGTTGTTTAACCTTGTGGCCTAAGGCAGATGACTGTGTTGTTGAACCTTGTGGCCTAAGGCAGGTGAATGTGTTGGCAGCAGATGACTGTGTTGTTTAACCTTCTGGCCTAAGGCAGATGAATGTGTTGTTTAACCTTGTGGCCTAAGGTAGATAACTGTGTCGTTTAACCTTGTGGCCTAATGCAGAGGACTGTGTCGTTGAACCATATGACCTAAGGCAGATGACTGTGTCGTATAATCTTGTGGCGAAAGGCAGATGACTGTGCCGTTGAACCTTATGACGTAAGGCACATGACTGTGTCGTTTAACCTTTTGGCCTAAAGTAGATGACTGTGTTGTTTAACCTTATGGCCTAAGGGAGATGATTGTGTCATTTAACCGTGTGGCCTAAGGCAGATGACTGTGTCGTTTGACCGTGTGGCTTAAGAGAGATGACTGTGTTGTTTAATCTTGTGGCTTAAGGTAGATGAATGTGTCATTTAACCTTGTGGCCTAAGGCAGATGACTGTGTTCTTGAACCTTGTGGCCTCAGACAGATGACTGTGTTGTTTAACCTTGTGGCCTAAGGCAGATGGCTGTGTTGTTTTACTGTGTGGCCTAAGGGAGATGACTGATTTGTTTAACTGTGTGGCCTAAGAGAGATGACTGTGTTGTTTAACTTTGTGGCATAAGGCAGGTGACTGTGTCTTTTAACCGTGTAGCCTAAGGCAGATGACTGTGTCGTTTAACCTTCTGGCCTAAGGCAGATGAAGGTTTTGTTTAACCTTGTGGCTTAAGGGAGATGACTGTCTTGTTTAACCTTGTGGCCTAAGGCAGGTGGATGTGCTGTTTAACCTTGTGACCTAAAGCAGATGACTGTGTTGTTTAACCTTGTGGCCTAAGGCAGGTGGATGTGTTGTTTAACCTTTTGGCCTAAAGCAGATGACTGTGTTGTTTAACCTTGTGGCCTAAGGCAGGTTGATGTGTTGTTTAACCGTGTGGCCTAAGGCAGATGACTGTCTTGTTTAACCTTGTGGCCTAAGGCAGAAGACTGTCTTGTTTAACCTTGTGGCCTAAGGCAGATGAATGTTTTGTTTAACCTTGTGGCCAAAGGCAGATGACTGTGTTGTTTAACCTTGTGGCCTAAGGGAGATGACTGTGTTGTTTAACCTTGTGGCCTAAGGCAGATGAATGTTTTGTTTAACCGTGTGGCCTAAGGCAGGTGGATGTGTTGTTTAACCTTGTGGCCTAAGGCAGATGAATGTTTTGTTTAACCTTGTGGCCTAAGGGAGATGAATGTCTTGTTTAACCTTGTGGCCTAAGGGAGATGACTGTGTTGTTTAAAGGAGAATCCGAACGAAAACAAAACTTTTGATATATTGTAGAGGATATTCTAAAAGTCAGCTTCCGTGATGTCCCTGATGTCATTTCTGAAATGGTTGTTAGACCGTATCAATACGATCCGATTTTCCATCTTGCAAGACAATCTTCCAGTGAAGATGAAGAAGAAGAATCAAGCGAAACGGAAGCACCGCTTGAGTTCAAAATAAATTTAAAAATATACCATATCATTTAACAAGAATACTATTTTACAGGGAAATGTGATACAGTTCCAACCAGCAAACCCACCCCTATAAGTATATGACCAGTCCCTAAGAATTATATTTTTGCAATGTGATTGCAGTTCCTTTTTGTGTCAAAAGGGGTGACTGCAGGGTGTCTGGGATTTAAAAACACAATAATTATGCTTCAGACGGGGAAAATAGAAATTATCTGCTAGAAAAATTACACTGGAGTTATTTTGTTGAAAATAAATTAGGATCCTAGTTCTCAGTAATAACGTAGATAGTCTCCACACAAAATCCCAGCCTGGTCGAGCAGAGATAATATTCGCGACGCAGATAAGTTATTCCCCGAAAACTGGTGAATTATAAAATACTTGTCAGGACAATGTATGTTTCCCCCTGTGTTATGGTACTCGGCCATAGCCTTAGAATGGCATCTTTTCAGCCAATGTGAACACAGAACAACTTTCACGGCACACACTACTGACAAATAGCGAGTCTGATGCCGACGTGCGTAATTGGACAAAATGGAAAACAATGAAAGCAACAAGTACTTCATGATTTGCCGTTGTATTCGGCAATGTTTCGGGTAGTCTGTAGCATTTAGGGCTCCAAACCCAAAAGAACGTCATAGCGAAACATTTTCAAGCTCATGTGAAATTTCTTACTGATTTTGATATCTATCTCATGGGTACCAGTGGAACTGACCCAGCTACAAAATGCCCCAGCAAATTTGGTCATCCATTCTAATT